CTTAGGATAACTGCAATGCTATTGTTTCTGCTGCTAAGGCTCCTCTAATTGAGCATCAATTACAGCTGAATTGGGAAGGGTACCAAGCACCTCAACACCTTGAAAAACACAGCCAGTGGGAAGCTGTAAGGATTCAGACACTTTACAGAGCTGAAAACTACATCTTGAGCATCGAGTGCTAAATCTAGCACTCTGGGGCACTGCAGATTTTTGACGTTTCCAGGAGGACTCTGAATCCATAAACTAATGGATGCTTTACACCGATACATAAATAGGGGTTTCATGCAGTAGACAAGCTGTTTCTCCTTCCATTTAACGGAGATTACCTGGTTGTACACCCTAGTTAGGAACATTTCAAAGAGAAGCACTGTTTCTTCTCTTGAATAAGCAAAGCAATTATTTGAGCTCCAAAATTAGGCAATAGTGAAATGTTAATTGCCTCTGAAACTGAACCCCTGGATGTACAGACTGACCCACATCAGCAAATCTTTGCAGTCAGTTCAATAGGTTTCCAAGTGGCCACCAGCATCTGCCTACATGGATCAGCTTGCCAGACCAAGGACAAGTGTTAAATTACAAGCTTTGTACTGATGACAAGTATGTTTGGTTAAATAAATAAATAAATATAGATCCATTTTATTATTGGCAGCATGGCAACATCATGCAAAAGCTTCAAAACCTTTTAAATTTTGAGCTTAATCTAATATTAAAAATACCAAATCAATAACATCCTTTAATGTTTAACCAAACAGCTACATTTGTCCCTGGTTAAACTCTGCCAACACCGGAAATGAACCAGAGATTAATTTGGTTCAATGAATTTGGCTTTTAACCTAGACAATAAAATTTACTTGTATAAAAGCTCAGATCCCAACTGGCAATGTAAGGATGCCTGAGGGTACACTCTGGTTCTTGCCAACACCACATATCCACCTTTCTTTATAGCTTTAAAATAAATCTGTGACTTTTGTTTCCACATGAAGCTTTTCACTCACCTCTTCACCTAAAGCCTAGGAAGGACAAAAAATGAAACAAAAGGCTCAGGAATGGAGATAAGGACATCGAGGGGTGACTCACCCATTTAAAGGTCAAAGGCAAAAGACAGGGTCGTTGGCAGAAGAAAAAAGACATCACTAATTCAAAACACTATCAAAGACACTTAACAGACAGAATGGGACAGGGACAGTGAGAAGCCTTAATACATCTTAAAAACACCTGCTCGCTCACCATTCCCTTCCTCCAGGGCTCAGTTTTTCTCCTGGTATCTCCACCTCCTTCCCCAGCAGTGCAGGGGCAAGAGATGGGGGTGCAGTCTGCCCTGCCGCTTCTTTCTTCAAGGTGGGGGGAAGCACTCCGCTGCAGTCTTCCCTCTGCTCCACATGGCATCCCTCCCACGGGAGACACCCCCCCCCCCCAGGATGCATTCCTCTGGAGATGCTCCAGCATAGGTCACCTCCATGTGTTGCAGTCCTCCCAGTGCCAAACTACTACTGCAGGGATTGCTTCTTCCCACAGAGTCCCAGGGGTCCTCCATAGGCAAATCTCTGCTCCTCTGGTGACCTCCATGGGTGTCAGGGAGGGTGGCCCTGCCATCTCACCATGGGATATGGGGGGCTCCATGCTCCAGTGCGTCTCCCTCCCTTCCTTCTCCTTCTTCCCACTGACCTCGATGTTCACACAGGTGTCCTTCTTGTAACTCATCCTCAGAAGTCCCAACCCCCTCTCCCAGGTTTCCCTTCTTAAATATGTTATCACAGAGGTGCAGCCACCATCACTAATTTTCCAGGCCTTGGCCAGAGGCAGGTCCAACTTGGAGCCAGGTGGAGCTTACGAGAAGCTTCTCACAGGGAGCCACCACTGTAGCCTCCTCCCCCGCTACCAAAAACCCCACCACATAAATCCAGCAAACAACAAGATTCCGATTCATTATATTAAATTGCATTCTTACCTTTGGCACTGATTTTATCACACATTTACTGCTATTCTAGTGAGCAAGTACATTTCTTAACAATACTTAGCTAGGTATCTTTTCTCGTATTTGAGGAACTACAGAAAACAATCTCTGTTTCTAAAGTCATCATCATGACAATATTGCCTTAATTTTGCCATTACCTAATAACAAATCCATGTACCATTTTCTCTTAACAACTGACCTGTACTTTAAACACACATATTCAGAGAGTGTGCAGGTGTATGTCCTGTATACACTGAGGACCAACTTGGCCTGACCTGCACCCCTGAAGTCTCCATGTCAGCAGGTAGTGATGACAAAGAGTTGAGGAGAATCCAGCCCACAATGCCAAGGAGCAGGCAAGGGGACAAAAGCACACCACAGTGCATTGCCATAAATACAAAGTGTTCTACATCACACATGGCCAAGGAGGCAACTCGTACCTACAAGGCTGCAGGTATTCTGTTTGCCTGGTTTTAAACAGATGGCCAGCATCAGTAACAGAAGTGAAACCAACAATTTCACATTTTTGAAGTCCAGGACTTGTAATACCAACACGTGTGTGTGTGTGTGTGTGTGTGTGTGTGTGTGCGTGTGTGTGTGTGCGTGCGCGCGCCCAGCCAATGCCAAGCTTAGGATGACTGAGTCATAACACCACCCTATGGGGCCAGGCTGCATAACCATTGCTAACACTGGTAGACTCTTACTCATAAGAAAGTGTCTCTGAAGTCAGCAAGACTCCTCAGATGAGTAAGAAGTGCTCACTGATGTCAGTAAAGATTATTCAGGGAGGGCTTTGAAGGTTTTATTTTGTAGTAGTGTGTGTACGTGTGTGCACATGCACGGCAGCAGACATGACTACCTAAAAGCTATGAATTCATCACCAACCTACAAGGCAGTATGTGTTAAAAGAAAAAGCAGTCAGAAAGTGAGATAAATGACCCTATGCCATGACCTCAGGTAGGAACAACCTCAGCACAGGCCATACCTACCTATACCAGGACTAAAGTATGCCTCAGGAAGTACAGTTGAAGTATGTAGAGACACAAGATATATGCCATTAGCAGTTCTACTGGCTCAATCCCCTGCCATCCTGCTACACTTTTAATACCTCAGTGCATGTTTAGCACACTGAATGCTAAACTGTAGTCTCACTATGCTGATGTAAATCTAAATTAACATGACTGAAGTCAATGAAGAAACACCAATGAAATGCAAAGTCTTAGTCTCCTGAGTCAAGTTGATAGGAAGACCTAAAGCGATGGAATTTGTATTATTTTCTGACCAGTGTCTAGAAGAAATTACAAAGCCATTTACATGTTCATGGGATATGGTACCACTTTACTCCCAGCTGCACTGCTCAGAAAATACATAAAAGTGAGCTTTATATCTGTGAATATTTACTATGTCACACAGCTCTTACTAATAACCTGAATTACCAAATCCAAAAAGTTGCTACTGCTCTTCACACAAGCAAAGTATCTTTATAGTGAAGAAAAATTTCATAAAAAATACTTTACCCCATGAGCGAGCGCTGTACTCATAAGAATTAACCCATGCTACATGGCATGCCAAACTTCCTCCTTGGTTGTTCTCATCTACTGTATGACTTTTTCACCGTCGTCTTTTCAATACTACCCCTCTGCAAAAGATACAAAGAGGGCTAACATACAGATGAACCACCTTCAATTTTCCAGGTAGTTGGCAGGTTAATTTCTGGGATGACCCAGGTATATTGGCATTGACCACCTTTTTAGGCACTCAGGGAGCAATGCAGAACCAGAGCCCCACTGAGCTGTTTTCCTTCAAGCCCAGGGAAGGTTTGGTCCCCACACAGAAATTATTAATTTTGGAGTTTGGATAAGAGCAGAAAGCACTTCCACAACATCAACACACAGGCAGCCTTCAGCACCAGGAAGTCTGTCACCAAATTTTTGCCTCATATCATGGACAGACATTCAAACACCAGCTGAGGCTTAAACGCTGAAGTTGGCTTCCCCCTTACGCTAGTAAAATGCACAGTAAATTCAATTCTAATACCTTATTATTGTGAAGAGGGCTGTGATAATTAAGAGACATTTATTAGTACTTCATTTGACAGCAGATATGCTTTGAAGAATTTTAATGACCCATTAATGAATCCATACAACCACATGTACACAGAGAAGATACAATCAAGTCCTGGGACTGATTCTTACTGTGCATTTGTACACATCCTGGAACAACAGCAACAGATCATCATTGCTACCGGGTGCCACTGTATGACAACAGCTATAATTATACTGTCCTGATAAATCATAATCTTCTGTAAGCCTAAACCGCTGACTTTGTGTCAGATAAAAACAGATGCCTGACATGTTCCCACACACCTTTACCTGATCATCATGTTGTGGTTTGATTTAGAGGATGACTGTTAGTAAAAGGAACTGATCAAAACTACAGAAGCTTGGAAAAAGGAACTGCTGCACATCCTCATTTTATTTCCTTTATAATGTTTAAAACATTAAGTTATTACTTCTGTTTAAGAGACCAGAAACATCATACCCAGCACATTCTTTGTAAAAGTAATCAGAGTTAAGGTCGCAGCAGTAAAAGTCACATCTCGAAAATCTGCTTTCAGAAGATTCATGAGTATTCACAGAAAAGACATGATGAACAACAAACTTCCCAAGTGCCTTTTTTTTAATGGCTGGTTTTGCTGACGTGCATCTTTCAAACCTAGCTAGTCCTAACAAATTCTACTCATTCATGGCAACTTCTGCTTTCTTTCTGAAGGAAGTTCGCTGCTAGTGCTAAAAATTAATCAGCCTTAGGTGGCTGTCAGCATCCTGCCTGCTATATTCCCAGCCCTCCAGTGCCAACAGCCCATTTTCTCAGTATAACCCCAACCTTCTCATGGGCCCCTTACAACATTCAGATCACTGCTGTTTTCATCCTGAACACAAACCTGCTCTGCTTCATATTCCTCCTCCAAAAACTCTCATGCTCAACATGCCACATCCACCCACTCATCCCAAGTCTCTGCCACCTTCAAGTTTTGAATGCTGACCTCAGCTCAAGTTCAGAAGTACGCAGCAACCGGAAAACAGGGACTGCAGAGCAAAGCAGATCTGGAGGGCAAGAGACAGGAAAAAGGTCTATGATAAATTGTGATTTGTGCAATGGGAGCCAAGTCTTAAGTCCCTTAAAGTAACTACACAAAAGAAAAATTTAGTTACTTCACACACATACAGAAACATGTGCTTGGCAAACCTCCTCTTCTTCTGCTTAACATCTCCTCTCCATAACCACCACCACCATTATTCACACTGTAATTTTTCCCAGGACCCCTGGTGACGGAGTAGGACCACACAATGCTAGGCACCAGACACCAGGTATCTTCATACCTTGCTCCTACACAGCTCTGCACACTCCCTGTCTCCTTCTCATGCTGCTGCAGGATGGCAGAGTCCGCCCAGCAGACCAGTGCCATGGGAAAATAAAGCAAGTAAAATCTCAGTTAGATCACGTTAACTCATCCCAGACAGCAACATTCAGTGACTCTGTACAGGGACATGATGACTGGGAGCCCAAGCCACCACCTCAGCCTCATCATTCATGAAGAAAAGCATTACCAGGGGCCACAATCCTTTTATTACCTTAACATGATAACCCCAGATTCATGACATGGTGATTTTCAATGAAATAAATAACAAGAACATCCACCCCTACAGAAACCCAGTGTCCTTAGGTACACAGGAGAAACTGGTTCTCCACCTTCAACAGTCTTCCTGGACAACCATGGCTCCTCCAAACTCCCATTTTCTTCCCCCTTATGTCTGCACGGTCTTGTTACATCCTACTTTCCTTTAAGCCTGTGTTCAGCTCCTCACACCCTGCATTTTCCTCTCCTCCAGCCTTTTCCACGGCTGCTACTCGCACCAGCTCTTCACTGCCTCTGCGGAGCTGATGCCAGCCGTGAAACAGCTGAGAGATCTTTACAAGTCAGCCACCTCATCTTGGCAGAGCTCTGCTATTCCAAACGCAAGGTGTAACCTTGGGGGTGGAACTACACAAAGAGTAATTATATGTATCTGGTCTTCAATAAACATTGCAGATAGGCTGTAAGACTATGAGAAAACTCTGTGCTACATGAGACAAAATCCACTAGACCCTAAGAGTGTGTGAGTAGGGATGACTGTGTGAAGAGTTTTTATTGCTCCTCCACAAAAGTATTTTTCATATATTTTTTTCTACATTCACAAATGCCTATACCTACACAGATATTTTCTTTTTAAAAGATTAATGAGAAAACTCAAACTGAAAGCTTCATTTTGCATATTAGAATGCGAAACTGGGATTTCAGCCCTTCAAATACTGTTCTCTTCTCCAAAGTGTAAAATACACTAAACAAAGCAATATAAACTGGGTTTGTAAGAACAACAAAAATCTGTTTCATGTCTAGCATCTTCTTAGCTGTCAGACTCACACTTCTGATCATCTTGTCCTTTTTCTTAAAGGCTGAAGAGAGTTTAGTTTAAGAGGGTGGGTGAATGTGTCCCCTTCCAGGGAGACAACTCAGAAGTGATGGGGTTTTTTTTTCTGACGCAGGGGAAGTACCAACTCAGAGGGTAGTGCTTCCAACCCCACTGAGCCAGCAGGACTGGAAAAGGGTCTCTACATGCTGCAGAGTAACCTGTGCTGGTCCTGCACAACGACCTGAAAGAGAGAGGACCCAAACCAAACTTCAGACAAACTTCTTGATCCTGCCACTGCCCTGGCCTGCTCATCCTTCACCACATCCATTACGCTCTCTCTCCCATCTCCTGTCCTCCAGGAGCACAAGACTCGCACACAGAAGGGCCATTAAGGGGATAACCATCTGTCTTCCTCTCCAGTTTAGTGATGCAAGCCTTGACCCCTGGAGACCAGGCTCAAAGCTTGCAGTGGGTTTGGGCAGGCTTTTTGCAAGGGGAGAACAGAACCTAGGTTTTAGAAAGGTAAGGAATTAGCCTGATTTCTTACATTTCAGGGCATTTCAGGGACCCCATTTCCTTCCCTTTCCTCAGCCTGCCAGACTGGCCAGTCCCCAGCGGATTCCTCTTTACCTAATATTTTCCATTCCTCTTTCAAATCAGGTCAGCATTTCTCTTCTTATACTTCTTCTCCCCCTTATTTTCTGTCAGAGCCAATGAAGTGAAAAAAGTTATGAATCTCTCCACCCATCATTTCCAGTGCTCTAAATCTAGCTAAAAAGTTGCAGGAATCTTCACTTGCCATTTCATTGCATTTCATTTGGCAAGTATTGAAAAACCAATAAATGTCATTAGGTTATCAAGCTGTACACTAGGACAAGGTAGCAAAGACTGTGAAAGCCACAGCGTCTCCTGAGCTAGACAGTAGAAGATAAGAGCAATATCTAAAGGAATCCATCGTGGCTCTCATCTTTTTATGAAGACTCAGAGGGGACACCCTGGTATGCAATTCTATGCCTAGCTCAGAGACAAACGCATCACCTGCAATATATAGGTGACTTTGTTATGCAGGGGTACACACTAAGACAGTTTGTTTGCAGGTTAGAACAGGACACACAGAAGTCATCAGGCTATTGCACAGACTGGGCATCGTATACATTATCATGATTAAAAAATGACCTAGGTTCTGCACTGAAACAGTAAGAGAGATAACAGCAGACAATTCAGCAACAGGCATTTAAAATTCCGTGCTTAGTGGCCTGCATGAATTTCACTGATTACCTTACTGCTTTCGCGCTGTTCTTCAGACTTTTAACAAGCCAAGCCACCCCTTTAAAATACCCAGGCTCCTTAAGACATCCACTTCAGAGCACCAAAATCTGGAAGAAAAGGCTGCCCACAGTCTAGAAGACACTCTTGAGCTCCAGACACCCTCCTTTTAAGTACATGAAATTTTGAAGTGAAATATTAGCAATCTTCACTTTTTGCACTGCTTACTTTTGGGATACAAATACATGGCAACCTATAATCCCTAATCAACCTAGAAAATAAATGACTGATAAACCAATCTGCTCGTAACCCCATTAACAGATTCTGGCTTCAGTATCAACAGGGTAATTTGCTGAGACTATTTCTAATCCCAACTGCTAAACCACTAATCCCACAATTTCCACATAGTATTCCTCCCCCCAATTTACTCAAGGTTACCAACAATTTTGCAACTCATTAAGGAACAGATAAATAAATAACATTTGCAAATATACACCCTCCTGGCACCGCAGAACTGAAAGACTCCGATTACTCTGTTGATCCCGTTAAAGCCATTACTTTCTAATTGGAAGGAGTCATTCAGGAGCAAAGCTGTGTGTCTAGCATGTCACTTGACACCTGGTATGCACCGTTCATGATAAGATGAACTCTCCAATATGCCTGCCACAACAAGAAGTGGGTTATTTCACCACACCACTGACAGTCACAGCACCCTCTACTAAAATCTGTTCAAATTTAATGGGACTGGGGTTATCAACATAAATTGTTATGTTTTCTCAAACCAGCACTAAAACATTCTCCAAGTATCATTATTAAAGTCAGTATAAATTATGCATTGAAGATCACAGCATTCATTACAGAGGTAAAAATTATCTGGGGGGAAAGAAAATAAAACAGAGACAAACAGAGCAAATCTAATTAAAGTAAGTATAGATTTCATACAGCTTTCCTCCACAGTGATGAAAACACTTCTCTAAAAATGGTTTTAAAATAAGCATTCACGCAGTCATTAAAAACAGTTCCAAGGAAGTATTGTGTTCATCAGCTAAAGGTACAGTTACACATAGGATGTTGCAAAGGGCTGACGTGATAATACATGAGACTGGTAGTTTATCCAAGGATGTATCAACATGCTAGCACAACAGTCTGGAAGACAGACCCTTGGTTTCATGTAAGCAGCTACACACAGGAGGAAAAGCTGTATTTAATGTTAGAAAGGTAGTGTTTAATACTCCTTTCAACTTCTATAAATTACAGCGTTAGCCATTCCTAATTGGTATACATTAGTATTCAAACACCACACTGAAATTAGAAGCTTAGCAGTTTTTCAGTACGCTTATAGACACTACACACAAACACGTGAATAACCTTGTTGGAATATTTTTGTATTCCAAGGTTAAAAGAAACGACTTTAAGAGACAGATGGTGAGCAACTGGTACCTCACCAAGGAGTGCCACCGACTTTTGGAAGTTCTCACACGACACACCGTATGGGGCTAAATCTTATTTACTGCGTGCCTTGGGACTTATGACTAGAGCCCCATCTTCTGAAACTCTGAAGATACGCATAGCTAGGATGGCGTGGAGGAAAAGAAAGCCTAAAAATACAACTCCCGGGGGCTCCAAATCCAAAGGGAAAACCTTATTTCCCTAATTGCATAGTTTAACTCAAGCCTTAAGATGCCCGATTCATAGTTTTATCACACTTGTGTCTGCCAATACTGATACCAGCTCACCAATACAGGTGCCTCAGAGTCTACTGCAAGGGAAGCCAGAATGCATTCATTACAATCGACAACTAAGCAACCTCTGTGCAAAGACTGGAGTGAGAGGTGGGGAGAAAGTCTTTCCAAGCACATCCTCAGCCATCAAAGGAGCAGCTCTAGTTTCAGCCAGCAGAGACCGTAACACCTCGCCCCGCGATCCTTTTACAATACACTGTGTCACTGGCTATTGTTCATAACTCTTCCTGCGAATCATTTCAACAGAGACCGACTATTTCTTAAGGAAATTATTTCAGAAAGGGGGGGGAGAAAAAAAACTGCTTACTCATGAACCTGGTATCATTATAACAATGAGGCAAAACAGCTAAAGACAGAGTTACATTGCACAATCCTAAATGCATCATTTATTGTACTAGATTTCAGAAAAAGAACATTCTGAAACACTAAAATAAATCAGAGCATAAAATGTGACTTGTTGTCAGCTCATACAATATGGGTTAAATGCTACCATATGGTGAGTGCACACATGTTACCCTTTTAAAAACAAAGAACATGGCTAATTTCTTTCCCACATCTATTTTTAAATAAATGTGATTATTTTAAAACGAGGCTATAATTGTGA